CGTCAGGCCGTGATGGGCCTTCCTGCGGGGCAGGGGCGAGCCCGCTCCCCCCGGCCGGCCAGCCCTCTGCCTTCCAGCGCTTGCCTGGAAAATCCGTGTGCCTTTCCTAAATGCCCGCGAGCCCGAGCGGGCCTCAAAGCCAAGAGGCAGGCGTAGGTCACCGTCCTCGTCTTCACAGATGCGCTCTAGCTCAGCGCATCTCTACCTGTAGAGAAGTAACTGCGGTCACTTGTCCAAGATCCCGGGCTGCAGAGAAGAACGTGACTTCCAGTTAGCTTCCCGATCCAGCATATTCTGCTTTGAGTTCCTCTGTTGTGCTCACGACATCAGGCAAGCCCCGAGTGAGAATATAACATTTCTTCTGCAAGTTAATGTAGTAATAGCATAGTTATAAAATCTTGTATAATAAACAAATATTACCCTTATATTTTTGATTATTTTTCCCTACCTGCTTACTAATTGTTTTCAGGCCACACTGGATGAGTTAGGAAATGATAGAATTAATGTTTAATGTTAATATGTAACATCTACCTAGAAGGGAGACTGATGATTTTGCAGCTAAGTTATTTGATATTTGCATTCCTTACACTATAAAATCCAACTATAAAAGCATTTGATCTATACTGGAAATGTTTTAAACCTAGTGTACAACTACTAGTAGATGGCAAAAATTGAAAAAAAATTTAAGGAAGGCCCCTCTAGCTTGGGAAAATAATCATGCTCTCAAGATGACGCAAGAACAAAACATAGTTCCTATAGTACCTCGTTATGACAAAGGATCTTGGACGTAATAGAACAATAGGGGCTATTTTGGTTATTCTACATGGCATTCCACTAGCCGTTCACCGAAAGCCTTCTCTCAGACATTAAGAAGAATTTTAGCATGAGGTCCTACCGCAGTTCATTATTTAAGTTACCGTGACATCTGGGGACATGCTCATCAAACATACAAGCGTCACTTTTCATTCATGCATTAAACCCACACAGACACGCGTAAGTATTTAACAAGCATCTGGAATAACTTCTGTCTCACTGGCTTCAATGGAAATACATGCATAGGAAAATGGCGTTCACGCACGTAAAGGGAAATACGCCTATCTTCTCTTGAAAGCCCGTTCTTGTTTCAGAAGCTTTGAAAAGCTAATCGATGGCTTCATACAAAACAATTCTAAGAAAACAGTTCCTGAGAGGCAACAAAATGTCGTTTCAACAACCCAATCTCTATTTTACACAAACCATACAAAAAAGTTTTATGCTTCAGTAGGAAACCTCCGAAACTACAGTAACATTCCCCAGGGGAAAAAAAATTGCTGTAGTGTAGAACATACAAAACTTCATTAGGCGTTAGCTAACTCAGGGACTTACCAGAGTGTAATATACTGCCCTGTTTAATAAAGAATGCTTTGAAAATTTCCTATATGGGTCAGCAGAAAGAAGGCACATCCTAAGTCATCCTATTGTAATGGAAATATGAAATAACTTCCAGGAAACTTTGTAGATGTGGCAAGGATTGTCGGAGTCCTAAATAACAGCAGTAAGTAATATATGCATAGTGATCTGTACCAGCTAATGAAAATGACCTCAAACAAAGTATTTGAATTTTAATGTGGCCAAAGTTGTATGTACATCTAAACCTAAAAATAATACACTGTTCTGTATCTTAAGGTTGTGTTACCTGTTAAATGAGAGTTCCTGCTGTGATACTGTGGCAGGAGAAGTAAAACTATTTTGGTATCAAACAGGAGAGAAAAATACTTGCTTGGGCAAGCCATTACAGACATACATGTAGTATTTTGGCATCTACATTTAAATAATTGAAATTACTTGGCATGTTTGGGAAGAATTACCCAAACATAATATGGGGTTGGAAAAGTGTCTAAAAAGGCTGAGGAAGAGAAGCCTGCAAACTGGCAGGGAGCCGCACAGATATAATCCATAAGTAACAGGAGATGCAGAGATAAAAAAATCTGCATTTAGATGTAAGGAAGGCTTTAGAGATTGAAGGGGAAGTTAGAACTAGCCGGTCAGTAGGCCGGCTTTGGTTTTCTGATCCTCCCTTTGAAGAAAGCAGTTGAGAATGCACCTGAGAAACCTCAAGGTGGAAGGTGCCGCTCTGCAGAGACTGATCCCGGTAGCCCAGTGCAGCCACTTTGTTCCTAGGAACCTCTTCATTAACCTGAGCTACTTGGATCTGACTGTAGCCGGCAGAGAAGCTGCGTGAGAAGATGCCTCTCTCCCCTCGTTCTAAATGGTTTTGACAGCCTGGCTACAGAGCTCTCTTCCAGTTTAACCAACAAAAGCTTAACACAATTAATTGGCTCTGAGGTGAAGCAAGGTATTTTCAGACAAGAAAGCAACTACAGCGTTCCAACAACTTACCAGCGACACGGTGGCTGTCTAGAGCTTGCTGTTTAAGTCAAAAACAGACCAATGCCTTTTTAAGAGACCAGCTCCATTAAACTAGAAATTGTGGGTTTATGCCAAAATTACTTGGTGAAGTTTATGGCCAATTTTATGGAGATCAAGCCTCATGATCTTTCTCATCGTCTATGAAACTGCTTGTATGAGCAGACCTCACTTTTTGATTTCTCTCTTTTAATTTTTTTCCCAAAGCTTTTGCTCCTCAACTGCCTTTTGCCATTATATCTGTACAAATACATATGTAATATCTGTCATCAGGCAGAATTCAGAGTAAAACTTTCCTGGAGAGACAGAAGCAGAATCAGCTGGACACAAGAAAGGATCAGACTTTTGCTTGTAACGTGAATGCATGCGGACTGACAAATGACTGGGCTGAGGGGAGAAGGGAGAATTTAGATGCTTCTAAGTGCAAGTGAAGTTGCATCTACTTTCTTGCAAGCACAGGTGGCACCCTGACATCCTGGAAAACAGAAATTTCAATCTTTGACCACAAACCTGTCCCACTGTTCATTAAAATGGCACTTACCTGTTTTAGAACATCTTTTGTGCTCTAATTCCTCTTTCTTTCATTAAACAACTACAGATGCTCAGCATATAGAAACTTCCAGAACATCAGGATCTCAAATCTCCAGCCTGAAGTTCCTGGGGACAAACATGCATAATTTTATTTATTTTAAATTTATATATATATATATATATGTGTGTATATATATGTACATATATATATATATATGTGCGTGCACGCACACACATCACCACACACACTGGGGTGGAGGGATTATAGTGCTAGGAGCTATTAGGAGCTGAATGGAGAAGGGGAAAGAACAGAAGAGTATTGAGCAAAGGTCTGACTGGGGGAAAAGGTAGCTAGTATAGAGGGAATCTGCCACATTTCCACAGCATTTTCAAGATGGAGAATACTGACAGAAAGGCTGATATGCTGTTCTCTGTACTGCCTGGTACTTCACATTTCTGGTTCATGCCTCTACACTCACTCTCTATATATAATTTTTCGCCCGGGGAAAACAAACAAACCAAAGTTAACAAAAAACTCCTCTTAGGACAGCACTAGTTTTTTATATTATAACTAAAAATATAAGAACCACCATACCAGTTAAGACCAAGAGCCCATCTAGACCAGTATTCCACCTCAAACGGTAGCAGATGCAGATGCCAAAGAATAAGGATATTCTAAAAAAGGGTCCAAACGGGACAAGCAAGTATGACGCTTTCTCCTTAATACTCTCCTAAGCCTT